GATGGCTACTAAAAATAAGAGTGTTTTAGTGATGGTGCCTTATGGAATGGTTCCTCAGAGAGTCTCAATCAGTATCTGATTCATCCATTTATTGGTGAAACCATAGCATTCATTATTCTTTTAAATGTTTTCTTTTCAGTGGCTTGACATATGACAAATCTCTTCTTTAGAATGTGGTGTGGTGCTTAAATAGGCATTTAGTGTCCTTCTAAGCTACATTTATTTGTGGTTTAGTGAGTTGTGTGTAATGAGAAATCAAACGAGAATGAAATAATAATAATAATGTTTCATGGATACGCAAAAACTAATAGTCCTCAACTTACAACCACAATTGAGCCCAAACTTTCTATTGCTATGTGAGACATTTCCCATAGTTTTTAAGGGAATCTCTGCAGTAGTTAAGTTAGCAACACAATTGTTAAATAAATCTGGCTTCCCCATTGACTTTGCTTGTGAGAAGGTCAAATTTGATCATATGACCCTGGGACACTGCAACTGAGTCAGTTGCCAAGCATCTGAATTTTGATCATATGACCATGGGAATGCTGCAACAGTGGTAAGTATGAAATCAGTCAAAAGTGACTTTTTCAATGCTGCTCTAACTTTGAACAGTCACCAAAAGAAGTATCATATATCAAGGACTACCTGCGGTATATTAAAATGTTCAAAATATTTTATATGATATATTATACTCCCACAGCAAACCCGAGAAGCTGTTGGAGTTGCCAGGAAAGCCATCAGATCCCAAATTTGCTCTGACATCTTGTAAATAAATAATATTTTCAGAAATTTTAACAAGGCTTTGACATTCTTGTATGAGATCTTGCACAAGATTTTAGCACCTAGTCTTTGGGAATAGGAAATCTAATGAAGCTATCATAGGAAATGTTCCTATTCCAATCAGCGCTGTGTATGAAATTGTCTTGTACTAAGTCAGATCATTTGTTCATCTACTCCAGCATCTTAGTAAATCTGAGGATCCCTAGTTAATGTGACAAGAACAAGTTCTGGAGTCCAAAAACATAAAGGATATCAGACTGAGGATAACAATCCAGGTAGAATTACTAATCTTCTAGTAGATCTTCTAAGACATTGGCCAGAAATGTTTTCCAACACTGCAACTTAAAATTATTTTTAAATATATACAAAAAAATAAAAGTAGTATTGTAATGTAATTCTCACCAAACTATTATGGCTATAGATGTACAATCAGAGTTAGATCTTATACTGTATGTTGCCATCTAAAATAGGAGTCTTGGATTCGCAGCCATAGGCTGCATACAAATCTCTGGGTCATTTTGTGCAGACCTTGCCTTCACAGTTAAGGTCAGAGATAGTTTGTTTTATAATCACTGTAACCATTGCTGCAATTCCTCCTTGCTCTAGCTTTAGGGTAAGAAAATTCACCTCAGGCAAGACAATCCAAAATGTGACCCATATCATGCAGGGGTGGGATTCAACCGGTATTAAAACCGGTTTGGTCAGAGTGCGTTTTGCCTGATGCACACTGTGCACCCATGTAAAACAATTGCAAAAAAAATCAGCTGTGCCACCCAGATAGCTGACAAGCACTGTGTGCAGGTGCGCAGTATTTGAAAATCCTCCTCTTTCCTGCCTTTTCAACCTCAGCTGTGCGCGCAAAGCAGCTGAGGTTGAAAAAGCAGGAAATAAAGGTCAACCGAGAGCCCAGGCAGGCCAAACAGACGACCAAAAGGTCATCGCACTGAACCGGTTTGATGTCTGCTGCTCTTCAGAGCTACCAGTTCTATAGAACTGGGCCGAACCGGTAGCATCCCACCCCTGATGTCAGGTGAATCTCTCACATGAAATGTATGAGATTCATATATGAGTCATATGAGTCTCATAACCAGGAAGAATTGTCAGCAAAAACATTAGCGATGAGAGGAACAGGTCCCAAGTTGGCCCTACCTCTGACATTTCCTTACTGTGGGGCTAAGTGTGCAACCACCCCTCAGTTTAGTCAGCCTGGATGCAAAGCCATGTTTCCCATTCTAAAGCTATATCAAACAAGAGTGGTAGCGTCAATATTGCTGAGGAGACCAGGTCCAGGCCCTGGCCGTGACTATGATAACCTTGCTTTTTCACCTTCCCAAAGAACTAGTCCTCATGTGGTCTTCATGATTATGGAAATTTGGAACTCTGTACTATGAGGTACGCTTAATTTCAAGAATAAAGTAAGATATTGGAAGTTTGCCACCTTGCAACCTTTCTTACTAATCAACATAATGGTACAGAGAGCTTCAGTGAAGAATAATTTCTTATATATAGAATTGCCACAGATGGGGATAACATTCTCCATTCTATATTTAGATCTTACCAGGTTTCTCTTTAAAGAGCAAATTAATGATTGAACAGGAATAATATATTTTATTGGTTTTTAAAACTAAACCTAATTTGCATCAGTGTATTTGATGAATCAAAAGTACTAAATTTTAATATTTATACTTTTCCCATCATGGTGGTCAGCTTCAAAGGAAAACAAAGTTTCAGGAATTTTAGGAGCTCCAATCTTATTTATTTTTGTAAAAATATTTATAAGCTGCTCCAGTCCTTACAGACTATGGGCACTATGCAGCATACAATGCAATAAAAACAAAATGATCCACAAATAACAATGGCAGTCAGTTAACTATTATAATTCTCCAAACAGTTTTTAGGATAAAAGCTTGCTAGAATTGCTGTGATTAACCTTTCCTAAAAGCAAGGATGATTGGTGTTATTCATATTTCTTAGGCTAAGGTATTACGGAAAGTGAGGGCTACCATGAAGTCCAAAACTAATAACCTTACAAAGGAGGAAAAGATCCTCAACAGGTTACAGGAGAGGTTCCAAAGTTCTGTTTTATTCCTGAGGCTATTTATCATTTATATGAAGCCTTTGCATGAGATCACATTAAGATTTAGAATAAAGCATCATCAATATGCTAGTGACATCCAGCTCTGCCTCTTTTCATCAGATGTAGTACTGGCAGTGAAAGTGTTGAATCAACATTATGGACTGGGTGAGGGCCAACAAACCGCAGCTCACTCCAAAGGAGCCTGGAATACAGTTAGTGGAAGGCTTATCTGTCCAGCAGAGTGGCATTCAGCAAGCCTCTGAATAATTACGTTTATAGCTTCTAGAGCTTTCATGGTCATTAGAGGCCTACTGTGACACAGAGTGCCTTTTACCACAGTATACTGATCTGCCTGTTATCATTCTTTTCGGACAGAGATAACCTTGTACACTAATTAGTGTCCTAGCAACAACACATTTAGTTTGCTTTAAAATATTTACAGTACTTGTAGGATTGCCCTTGAAAGTTATCCACATGCTTCAGTTAATAATAAAATAAAAGTGTACCGAGTAGAAATAAGCATTATACACATATTAAGCTAGTTTTATAAGAACTTTCCTGTTCATCTTTTCTGTTCATCAGGTACAAACTACAGTATCTGAAATCTGGGGTTCTCTTGGATGCATAGTTTATGTTGAAGGAGCAGGTAGCAGCCAGGGCCAGGAGAGCTTGTACTTTAATTCCCTGTGTACCAGTTGTGCCCATTTCAAGATCAGGAGGCACTAATCACAATTGCAACATGTTCTATGTGAGGCTGTCCTTGAAGAGCATCTGGAAACTTCAGGTTGTCCAGAGTGCCACAGCATATGCTGATTGAGCACACTGCAGCACATCTGTATAACACCACTGCTAGGAGACCTACACTGGCTGCCAGTGAGCTTCGAAGTACTATTCCAATTGCTGGCTGTCACCTTTAAAGCCCTCATGGCATGGGACCAAATTAATCCCCAGGGGCATTCACCACCCTACCAGATTTGGCAGAATGGGCCTTGTCCAGGGACCTTCAATGAAACAATGTCAACTGGTAAGTCTCAGGAAATGTTTCTTTTCTGTCATATTACCTCCCCTATGGAATAGCTTCCTTTCCACAGACAGTCCCAACTCTATTAGCTTCTCACAAGGACCTACCCGGTTTTCCCCTTAGGCATTTAGTCTAAAATGTTCATTTGGGGGCAGGGGGAGGGGGAGGGGCTCTAATACAGGTGTACCTGATTGTGCCTTTACTAAGCCTTGATGGTGTTTTATTTGGTTTTTAATTTACTTTATTTTATTTATTTTGTTCATCACTAAAGTTTTTTTAAAAAAACAGATGGGTAACCATATATATTGGTTGGATAAATACATTAATTTCACTAAGTTCTTACATGTACACTAATACCTTCAGAGCCTTGATATTGGAGCCTTTCCTTGTTGATGACATCAGTGGCTATCCAAAACAACTTTTTCAGTGATAGTCCTCTAACTCTGTTTTGTCTTTTCCCAGCATGTATTCCCTTTTACTGCCTTTCAGCATCTTAAAGTACATTTTTAATTTGTGTGCTTTGAATAAAGTAATGTGCTAATTTCAAACAAAAATGCTGTTAAAGCTGTTTAAATGGATATGTTTTTATTGTTTTATAGTAATGCAAACTGTTCTTACATTTTTATGTTGCAATTTCTATTTGTTATGAAGTCTCCTGGAACAATCTGCTTTTGAAGGGTGACATGCCAAATTTAACAAAAAATAAATATAATGGCTCAAATAGAAGTTGGAAGACTTATACATGACAGTTGGTGATCGCAAACTTAACATATTTTTAGATCCCCAAATAACTTCCACCAATATCTGAGCAGAGTGTATGGCAGCTGCTTAAAAAGTCTACACATCTGAAGAACTCCGTGAAAGGAAAGGAAAAAAGCCATTCATGTGCACTCATGTGCATCTGCCACACATCTAGTCTTTGTTCTCCAGCAGATACTTACAAAAGTTGTTGGGAAGTGCTTGTTGAAAGCTTCATTTTCCATAGGACTATCAGACATATTTTCTTTTGATCATATGATAACCAAATGCTTTCAGGATCTGTTGAATAGATCCAGACTGAAATCACAGCACTGAAACCATCTTTCATGTTCTACTTTGATAACAATTCCTTTCCTCTTTCAGCTCACAACTCCAGTTTTTCCAATGGTCATCAAGCTAGGACATGCTCATGCAGGAATGGGAAAGGTAAGGATGTGCATAGACATTCTCACATGAATATGATAGTGCAGAATCACTTCAGTCCAATAAGTCAAACTTCTCTAAAATCTTTGTTTCGGCCCTTCATTAAAAGAGGTAAATCCCTATATTGATCATGTTGGCCAGACCATATGAAAGAAACAAATGGTTATTACCCAGAGTGCAGGATATTGAAATAAAAAACTTTTAACAGGAAATTTAATGTGATGAGGGCAAATATATTTCTTCCAGGGTAAATTCACAAAACCTGGAAACATATCAGGGATCATTGTTTCACAGGAAAGCTTGGTTCTGTCTTTCATTGTGTATGCAGAATTTTTAATTGCAGAGCCTTTAACAGCAACATGGCAAAATATCCCTGCTTTTTCCCCCTTTTCTTGCACATATGTCTGTGTGCATTCAGTTTTAATAAAATAAAGCAAAAAAGAAACACTAGGATATCCATTGGCATTGAAAATATTATTACTGAGAATAATTCTAAGACAAAGCTACAAAAGATTATTCAGATCTGGCTCAGCTGCTAGAAAGTTGTTAAGTCATCAGTTTTATAACTATGTTTTTCTGCCTAATTAGCCATTTTTCCTGGAATTCTATTTCTATATGAATATCTTGTTTATTCCAAGGCAAATAAGAATTTGGATTTGAACTTAAGTGACAATTCATTTGTAAAGACCTCTTCAATCTAACAAGCACTTTCTCTGCTTGGCAACCAACCTTGTAAGGAAGAACTAAACTAATCTGGGCAAGAGTTAATTACCTGGTTTATGTGAGTCTTGCTAATCATGATTTTTGAGGAAACCACAATAACCTTGGATCAGCTTATACAATTAAAACTCTGCAATCCAGCATTGTCCGAAGACATTTCTGTGGTCATGTGACTAGCATGACTATATGCCAAAGCGCACAGAACTCTGTTATCTTCCCAGTAAAGTGGTATCTATTTATCTACTTGCATTTGCATGCTTTCAAACTGCTAGGTGGACAGGAGGTGGGGTAAGTACTGGAGCATACCCCATCGTGCAGTGCTTGGGTCTCAAATCGAGGCTGCCAACTTTCCAGCCAACAAGTCCAGTGTTTTTAACCACTGAACCATCATACCCTATGAATGCACACACGTATGCACATGCACATACATGATTTATTATCAGCCCAAATCAATCCACTGCAGAATAAAGGCCTCTTCATCTGTTTTCCAGCTTCTTCACAATACTTTCTAATTGAATTATATCAACTTCCCAGTATTTCTTTGGACATTTTCTATGTTTCTTAAGGTCAGCTCATATCTAATCAAGGATTATTGTTTTCCAGCATTGATATGCTCATCAAATGATATGACCAGCCCATTCCATTTCCATGAGGCAACCTATTTAGCTGTGCTATGTACTCCAGTTTTTTGGCAGCCCTAGATACTTAATTTTTTTTTTGCTACCTTATGCTATGTTAAGCATTTGTCATTTCATGCTATCAACTATACATCTTTTAACTTCTGCATTGTCTAAATTTCACAATCTTATGTTACCATATCAATTGAACATATCAATTGATATGATCAATTGATAGATTAAGCAATTGATCAATTAAGCAATCTTTTAGGGTTGATATATTGGTTTTGGGCATGAAATTGTCCAAGTGCTCTTCAATCTAGTTCAAAATTTCTTCTATAATATCACCTTCTATGGTAATTTTTTGACTGAAGGGCAGAGACAAAGATGATTTGTTAATGCAATGCCTATTTATTTTATCTAATGCCAACTATGGACTGAACTAGCAGGAAGGAACTTCAAAACTACCTGGCAACAGATCAGGAGTTTAGAGCAAATTAGAAATCAGATAAGTTCCTGTGTTTGGCTGTCATAGCCAAGGTTTCCTGCTGTGCAAACCTTGGAATTCTAAAAACAAAAACAAAAAAAACTAGTTTTCTGTAGTGTATTGCCACTCTGATGTATTCTGTTACATGTTATATTAAAAGGAAGCCAGTAATTATGATGCTCCCTTTTAATTGGATGCCACATCTTAAGAGGTAAACTCAATCCTTGGCAAGTCCATTTATTATCTTCACCCATGCAAAAGCCTCTACAGTAATTCCATGTTAAGTAACTTAAGATAATTGCCTTTCCTGGATCTAATCTTGCAATTTATCTATACTCAATTCAGAAATATGCACTGAAAATATCTTGCTGGTCTTCAGTTTTATATAAACTAATCTGGCCAATGTGAAATCATATGAAAGGCAGGTGCCTATAGAGTACATAAAGCCATCCATATCCACACAATTCTCTCAATTTCGGTGACATTTTTCTTCACTACTTTGGTTGTGTGATCAATCTGTCAGAAGTAAATGTTTAGTATTTTCAGATGATTATGCTTATATACTTCACTTCTTAATGGTAAGATTTTCAGTGTACCTGTGCTCACCCAGGCTTATTTTCTGAAAGGATTCATTGAGGTTTTTGACATTTCTGTGGTATAGTTTATATACAGAGACAGAGTGAGAAAGACTGAAATAAGATGAAGGTTTACAGCATTAGCACTCTTCCCCATCAGATTTTTAGGAGAATCATATTACTATTGTATTTCTTGCAGGAAGCAAATTCAGTTCTCTGCCTTATTTTCCTCTTCCTGGCAAACAAAGCTTGTACCCTTTGTAGAGTCCATAGTGCTCTCTGAGCTTGGTTGTTTCTTTGAAAACATTTTGTTAGCAGACGAAGTAACATTTTCAGTGCTAAAAAGGAGTGGGATTTGCTCTCTGTTTATATATTGTAGCTTGTCCTTTCCTTGTTACTAGAGATGTTCTTTTCTCCTTAGTATTTCATTGATTGGGTTATTATTTACTGCTTGATTATTTGTCCGATTTTGTCTTTTGGTTTATTTAAAATATTTTGGAAGGTTTGAATTTGTCTGTGTACTATAGTGATGATGTGTGATTACAATAGTCTTTAGGTTTTTGAGATGTTTTTGGTGTATGGCAATATTATTAGTCTTTTAATAGCTTGTGTTGGTTGTGCAGTAGTAAGTTGAATGGTCAGGTACTTTTTGATAAACTTGCATGGATATTCATTTTGTTGGAAGACGTGTATATACTTATTCTGCTTTGGACATCAGAAAATGGAAATGAACACCCACACAATGAAAACTCCTCTAATACCTACTGTTAGAGAACACCCAAACTGATCATTCAATCTATAGAACTACGGACAATGACTGAGCTGGCAATTATTTTTTTCAAAGAAAAATATTTTAAGAAGGAATACAAAGCATGGGATTAAATATCTCTCATAATGTAGCTTGAGGGGTTACTTTCTAATTTCTCAATACTTTCCCAGTGTATACTTGCTGTTATTTCTCACAGGTATCTTTGTCCCTATTCTCACTCTCTTTGCCTTTTTCCATGAAATAAAATACAAAACACAACAGAAGGATTGTTGGTGACATAATGTGACCAACCCTCCAACTCATAATAATGTAAATGGTGTCATGTAAATGGAGCATTTTTATTTCACACCAGCATCAAAATTCTTCAACCAGCCACCTTTGCAATTTGAATTTTATTAACGAACTTAACTACATTAATTATATGTAAATCAAGAAATTTCAAAAGGTATAAACAGATTAATAACAAATGCTACATGTTCTTAAGAATGAATATGTTGAATTTTAACTTGTCCCACACCATATTTGTGTAATACTAGCCAGGTTGTACAACCTGCCATTAAAATCTCCCAGGTATCCTGATTCATGTTCCAATTAAAGTATACACTCATTTTCTAGCAGTTTAGTTAAGGCCAAAATATACCAGCAGACAAGGATTGCAAGCCAAAGCAGATTCTCTAAAAGAAACTTACCTGAATGGATTTTATTTAACAGAAGTTCCAAGATATAGGTCAGAGGTCTCCAAACTTGGCAACTTTAAGACTTGTGGACTTCAACTGCCAGAATTCCTCAGCCAGCCATGAAATCCACAAGTCTCAAAGTTGCCAAGTTTGGAGATCCCTGATATAGGTCAAGGTTGTCAGGCACAAACAGTATGCAAGACTGAAAGATCAGGTGGTTGTTTCCAACAAGGAATCATGGGTCATGGCTGCATCTTAAATCAGGCTATATAGCCAGCTGTCACTGATCAAGAGATTTGTTCCTTTGCTTGCTTGAAGGAGCCCAATAGAATGTCATTAATCTGTTCACCCCTTTACTTCCTGGATAAAGGGGCTGGAAGGCCTTACATCATCATCTGACTGTCCATACTGCTCAGGGAAAAGTAGGATCAGGAGATTTTTTTGACTTTGCATCTCCTGAGGCTGACATTCCACAGGTCCTGCTAAAATAGCTTCTCTGCCTCAGTCATCATTTGATTCCTGGATCATGACATCTGCCTGAGTCCTACTATTAATCCTATTTTATTGCTGCCACAATAAAAAAATACTTTTAGCATCTCACATAGAAAACAATATAATACTGTATAAACAAAACCCCATAACAAAATTAAAAAATAATACCACAATAGCAAGACAATAAAAGATGCAACAACTCAAAGCACTCCGAAGAAGCTCCTTTTTAGAAGCTTGTGGAAACCAACAAAGTTGTTCTGTAGACCTATTACGGACCAAATGAGGGGAGAGCATATGTCCCCAAATTTCTTCATATCTATATGAAACTTAAAACACTCATTGTGAAAATACATGCCAGTTATATGGTAAGTTGGCTCTCAACTGTACCATATCCTTTCAAACAGAGTCTTCACGTTTCTTTGACCAGATCATGGAACAATATTGTGCCAGTTTTATAGTGAAGGGAAAGTACATTTCCTATTTATGGGTAATGTGTATTTTTGTAACTTTAACTTTGTTTTTAGGCCTCTAAAATTAGATCAAATAAAGAGATCTCCGTTAGCCACATTTTTTAAAGTATCTATTTGAAGCAATTCATGGACCAACACAGTTGTTTATAGCTACTATTTGCATTATTTAGGGTGGAGTATTTTCATGCTTTGGGGA